AGCTCCAATGTGCTCGGTGTATCCCACCATCTTCCAGGCAGGGACAGGCTTTGGACAGTGGGTGGAAGAGCTGAGCAGTGAGAGTTGTCACCTGAGTGTTCATAGCCATGCACTGTGTGTCCTGTTCCTTCTCTCTGAGACATCACTGGGTGCTCCAATGGTTTCTGTTGAACTGAACCATCCAATGTTTCCCAAGGAACACTGTCAGGATAATCTGGCCTGACTAGCAGGCAAGAAGGAGTTATGATATTAGGCAATAATGAAATAATGCATGGTGATTCATAATTTTCTTTTCCTAACAACACAAGCAACATGTAAAGATAAAAGTGTCCCGTAAATCACTGGATATTTACTGTGATGGACCAAGCCCTCAGGACTTGCTGCTCCGTCCTTGAACCAGGATAAAATCCAGATATCACATCGTGGCACACAGATCTCTGCAGTTCCCCACATTGACAAGGCTGGGGCTTTAAATGACTGTCTGCTTCAACACACAAACACAACCATATCAACTATATGTAGGAAATGTTTTGTTCTGATTTGTGTGAAAATCTGAAACAGCCTTGGAGGTAAAGAAAATCTGTGCTCTGGATATTAGATTTTACTCTGCCTTCAAGCTTCTCATTACCTTTCTTTGATATTATTTCTCTACAGATAAATTAAGAAAATCTCATATCTGAGAACAAACCCTGTTGCTACAGAAAGACAACATTATGGAACATTTAGATGGAACTTCAAAGTCTAGTGTTGTCCTGCGCTGTGAGCACCAGTTACTGGTTGGAAAACACCTTCTGGTTCAGTTTTATCCAAAAGGAATCCAGATTGTGGATGCTGAGACCACACCATCACTCAAACTAAAATGCAAATGGGCATCCTCAAGAGATTTGCTTTAACAGCACCATCCTCATCCAAACCAGACACGCTCTCATTACAAACCATGGCTGGAATTAATTTGTTATGGAAGCAGCTGGAAAAGTAATCCAATATCAAGTTAATAGAATCATTGTTTTAGTATAGAATTAGTTAACATGCAGCAAACCCTTGTCAGGAGGGCCATGGGAATATTACTGTAAGAGTCCTGCTAGAAGTTCGTGTGAATCAGTAAATCTTGAGCCACTTCAGGTGTTTGGCAAAGTTCTCCCTCTGGGCATATCCCGAGGCCCTGCAGGCAGTAGGATTTCTGACACTGTCTTAGTGGCATCAGAATCAGGGCTTTGTGTGCAATTTCTGTTTAATTAAACCCCATTAATAAGGAGTTTGGTGCAGATTTACATCCAGTAAATATCGTCTGTGCCATCTGGAGTCCATTAATTCTGTCCCTACCCCTGGGATGTGCCAGGGGACACAGGGATTACACAACCAGGGGTCATGGGAGACATAACAGCAGTCAGCCAAAAGAGTTTTTAGTGCGAAAAGCCTGAGTTGAACCAATTACCCCTGTACTGATTCTCAAAGGGCTCAACTAGAGAAACAAGGGTGGCACAGAGTGACGGCCAGTCCAAGCAGCTTCCCACCCCACAGCCTTGCACTGCTCACATCCACACCGAGCTGCTCCAAGGGGATAAATTCTGGCTGTGACTATGACAAAACCAGTGCACAACATCCAACACTTGGCCAGCAGCTTTCCAGACCAGCTGCAGCTCTCAGTCCTGGGACATCAGAGAAGCTGTGGCTGCCCCATCCCTGGAAGTGTCCCAGGCCAGGTTGGACGGGGCTTGGAGCAACCTGGGCTAGTGGAAGGTGTCCCTGCCCATGGCAGGAGGTGGGATTGGATGGGCTTCAGGTCCCTTCCCACCCAAACCATTCCATGATTCTATGGTTCTGTGTTCCCATCCCAATGAGCTGGGAAAGTTGAGGGGCCCAGCCTGCAGCCCCTCACCGACCAGCTGGGCTCCAGACTGGGAAAGCTGAACTGGAACCAGCAACAGGGGAAAACTAGAACCAGAAACAGTAGTTCAAAGGATAGAAAAGACACTCTCTGAGCTTAAACTGACTCTTCTTAAGCGTCCCCATTTGCACATGACCTTGTCAAGGTTGAATGACCACAGCACCAGTGCAATAGCTCAAAGCCAGGATATCCATGGGATTTAAGGAAAGCCAACACTCCACACCCTGCTGCTGGCCTGTGTGTTTGAGGAAACTAATTTTGTCCTCCAGACATTCTCCCAAGCCTTTCCTAACTCTCTTTCCTCAGGCACTGCCTCTGCTTTTATGGAGGGTCCCTCTGGGGGATTATAGGAAGCTCCACAAATAAAATGTATTGAACCCTCCTCTCGATTCTGCACCACCAGTGAATAACAAATCCCTGATCACGTGTGCCTGGAAATAACCATCTGTGGATCTGCACTGAACTGATTTTAAAAATTCTAGCAGGATGTCATTCTCCATTAGAATAATTTCTACAGAACTATATTAAATTCCTGAGATCTTTCGGGGTCTATCTGACTACAGCACACTTGCCTGTAATTGCCAAAGGAAAATCAGGAATTACCTTTCCAGGTTTAATGAGTGGTAGAAATGGATTAGTATTCTGCCAGTAATCGTATCCAACATTTGATGCTCTAGGGGCAAGCTCCCTTTCCCTTTGCCTGCAGATACACATGGGCAAATAAAGACAGGATCACAGGAGTGATTTTATTTGGAATTCTGATGTATTGGCTAATATTTGGCTGCTTTTACCACAAATACATTAGTACAAATGCTGTTATGTGTCTTAAAATTGCTCACTCCCAGAGTAGCTGGATGGGTTCAAATCCTACATCACAGTCAACTGGCACATGTAAAATTTTTAGAACTTGCTTTTTTAATTATTTTTTTCCATTTAAGCTGAACCTCTGCTGCTGATCATACATGAAGAGCTGCGCTGCAGAAGGTGACAAGAAGAGAATATATGTTTTAAGGGCAAGTGTTAACACAGTTTATTATTTAAAGGCCTTCACTTGGTAACATTCATTTGCTGATGCTACTTTGAATTCAAGTCATCTGCAATAAAAAGTAATATTTTAGAGATGCATTTTGGAAGCAAAAAGAAAAAAAAAGTGAAGCAAAGTTTTACTCTTCATGCAAACTGACAGTGCTCTCGGAAACTTGGTGAAACTTCACCATGTGGGAGGTGTTGACAACTGAGCGTGTAATAAGTGAAGGATTTACAAGCACACAGTGCCACAAATATATCCCAGACTGGTATTTGTCAAGACAACCAATGGGCCTTCAGCACATTCTTTAAAGCCTTATTAAAATTGGGTCTTATTCTCTCCATCAGGGCCCTGGTGACAAATGCACCTTCCTCTGGTCAGGGCATTCTTGTGGCCTTGTACTGGTGTCATTGGCCTTTAATCACCACTATAAACATTAAGATTCCTAAAGTCTGATATTTGCAGGTTACAAGTCAGAAAGCTGCCAAGAGTCAACACAAACCAGGCAGAAATTTCACTGCAAAGGTAAAGTATTTACACAGTCCCTATGAAACTCTCAATTTCTGAGCATATTTTAAGCATCCACCAAGCACTTCCACGCACAGAGAGGAGTCAAAGTGCAGAGCAGGGGGCAGGACAAGGATGCTGCATGTCAGCTGAGAGCCCATGCTTAAGCTGTGAGTGTTTCCTGCCAGGAAATTATTATTTTGTACCACACGCATCTCTCTAGAAGTATCACAATGTGAGAAATAACAGGCAAAAGCCAACCCCACTCCAATGTGCTTTCTAATTTCTGTCTGCATTTTAAACAGCGTCAGTAGAGGCATCACATGAACTGCAAGGAAAAGGAATGTGGATGAGATAAATGACATTTAAAACCACTGAGGGAGCGAGCAGCTGGGAAAGGAAAATAAAGAACTTTCTTTTTTTAATCTAACAGGTTAAACAGCACAGAATAGAATCATAATGTCAGACTTCTTTGTGGGAACTGGCTGTGAGGGAACTTAAAGCTCAACTTGTACCACCCCTTGCCATGGGCAGAAACACCTCCCACTAGACCAGGTTGCTCCAAGCCCCATCCAACCTGGCCTGGAACACTTCCAGGGATGGAGACTGATTTCCTGACAGGTATAGGATTGTAATGGGAAGCAGTTCCGAGACACGCAGCCGATGGAGTTCAGCAAACAGGAAATGCCCGAGTCAGTTCCTTGGTGAGCACAGAGACAGATTATTTGTTACAGCAATTCATCATCACATGTATTACCCCAAACACCAACATCTACAGCTGCAGAGGAGATTTATCAGCAATCACAGGCCCTGGCATTCCAACTCCATCACACACGACAGAGCTGCTGTAAGATCCTGAGGAATAAACAGAGCAGGAAGGTACAGCGGGGACCCAGTGCCAGGCAGAGCCATCCCCTTCCTGGCAGCCAAGGGCAAAGCTTTGCAAATCAGAGCCGTGGTTATAACCACACCGAAGGGAAGGGGGTGGAATAACCCCAAATATAGAATGCAAAACAGCACAGTTGAAAATGGGTCCTACAAAGCCTTTAGGCAGCAGATGGGTCATATGTAACACATCTATATATTTATATGTCTATATATCTATATAACACATATTATGTCCATATCCATAGATGCATAAACACATACAGGCACCGATAAACACATGTAGGCACATATAAACACATACAGGCATTAATTAATGAGCACAGGTAGGCACTGACTAATGAGCACAGGTAGGCACTAATTAATGAGCACAGGTAGGATCTAACGTCGCTCCATCCTGCTGCACAGAGGGAGCATCAGCCCCTGCCTGCAGTGCACTTCAGATAAAACCTGTAGGTTGCTCCCAGCAGACACATTTAAAGGGAATTTTACGATTCACTCTGCAAAAGGCTAAAAAAAAAAATAATCCATCCCTGAGGAATATGACTCTATTTTCTCCCTCCGTCCTCTGAACAGTGGGATCGGATTAGGAGTGATGCATCCATCGGTCCGGGGAAGCACTGAGAGGACAGAGAAGGAAAAGAAAATAAAAAATAACAAACAACAACCAACCCCAGAGTAAGGTGTGCTCACCCGCCGCGGATCCGAGCAGTGCGGAGCTAAGGGCAGGTTTCCCGGGCAGGCTGCGCGGTGCGGGCGCTCCGGGCCGGCGGGATGCGCTCCGTGCCAGCAGCCTCAGCCATTGCGGAGTCACTGCAGCTCCGGCAGCACGTCAGCACCGCTCCCGGCTCCAGAGCCCTCCCTTCCCGGAGCCAGCCGAAGATGCTGCGGGAAACCCGCTCCTCCGCCGCTCAGGGCCCCGCGCACCGGGATAAGCCTGCAAGGATTGGCATTTCCAGCTTAATTATGCAGCCAAAGCTTTGCATCCAGCAGGGCTGGAATCTGCACGGAGCTGCTCCTGGAGCAGGGCTGAATTACTAAAAAACGGCAGGGAGGGACTGAAGGATATTTGGATTTAAAAACAGACGCCAGCCTTTGCAATTGCTCCTAGAAAAGGGGATGGGATCAAGTTATAAAATCATGGAATCACAAACTGGTTTGGATATGGAGTGACCTTAAACCTTATCTCATTCCACACCCTGCCATGGGCAGGGACACCTTCCACTAGCCCAGATTGCTCCAAGCCCAGTCCAACCTGGCCTGGAACACTTCCAGGGATGAGGCAGACACAGCTTCTCTGGGCAACCTGTGCCAGGGCCTCACCACCCTCACAGCCAAGAATTTCTTCCCAATATCCCATCTAACCCTGCCCTCTGGCAGTGGGAAGCCATTTCCCCTTGTCCTGTCCCTCCAGGCCGTGGTCTAAAGTCCCTCTCCAGCTCTCTTGGAGCCCCTTTAGGCACTGGAAAGGGCTCTAAGGTCTCTCTGGAGCCTTCTCTTCTCCAGGTGAACACCCCCAGCTCTCCCAGCCTGGCTCCAGAGCAGAGGGATTCCAGCCTTCGGAGCATCTCTGTGGCCTCCTCTGGGCTCACTCCAGCAGGTCCATGTTCCATGGAAATCTGTACCCATGGAAGTGCAGGGCCAAACACTGGAGAGTATCTCTTACAGGAATGGCTTTTCTGAGTAATGTCATGCTTTGAAGTTATGTGGGAATGGTGATATGGTGGGAAAAGGCAAGTGTCATTCCAAGGCCCTGTGAGGTGGGATTTGAAGACTAAAGCATGTGGATAATAAAGCAGGTCTGTAACCCCCATTGTGCTGTGTCCCACTGTCCTCATAACTGAGAAAATATCCATTGTCAGTATTCGCAGCACACTGGGAATTCCCCTTTCCATCAGAAATGAACAATAAATGCACATAAAATAAATGCACTTGGGTACAAGATACTTATAACAACCTCACTCCACAAATTCTCTAGATACGGGGCCTATTTGTTTGGGTTTTGTGTCTTCCTGACACAAGAAACATGAAAGGCTGGGAAGAAGATTGGGAACCATTCCCAGTGCTGTCCATGAACTGCTGACAGGAATGACAGGGTGATCCAAGTGCAGGGCTGGGGAGCAGAAACCCACCCTGGAGAACAGTCTCAGTTTCAGAAAGGAGGGTCTGGGGGGTTTTTCCCCTTTAAACAGTACCTAAATATTTGGAACTTTCCATTTAAAAACCTGGTTTTCCCTGAGTCCCAAGCCCCCAACTCTCTGCAGCAACAAAATGCGAAGCCAAGAAACATCCGTGACTTCCAACCAGGTTCCTAGAAACATGTTCCTATTTCTGTGGATAACCACTGCTGTGTTTCTCCTGCTCTGTGGTTCAATTATCCTCTGCCAAAGGGACAAGTAGCAGCACTTGGAGACAACAGGACTGGCTGTGACTCTGAGAGCTGGGACAACAACAGCTTTGGGATAAATAGTGGGATAAATAAAACTCTTTTCTATTTTTAGAGCTGAATTGCAACACTCTGTGGCAGTTTGTAAGCAAAACAAGTCACGTTGCAGGCAGTGTGGTAAGCGATGTACAGCAGGAGCCCGGCAGTGGTTTGCATCACTCAAAGAATTGGGGTTTGTTTCTCAGCTGGCAAGTATTCAGGGAAAGCATTCCTCTGGCAACTTCCATGGGCTGAGCTGTACAGAAATGGGAATGGGCTTTAAAAACCTGAATTTAGTAAGTAAAGCAGAGCTGAAATAATTTTCATGTTCTGCTTTTCTGATTCCCACTGGGAGCGGTCAGTGTGTCTTCACTGCAGAGGTTCAAAAGCAAACCAGCAGCACTCTGGGTTTGGTTCAAACATGGATTTGTGCCCTTTTTAGCTGTGCCAGCACACTTACACCTTACTGTGACACCGGGCTGCAGGTCGGCCATGGGATTTCACAGGTGATTTTACAGGGAGCACCCTGTGCACTCCCTACAGAAACAGGGCATGAAGCGTCTCCTCAGCATCTTGCTCGGGAATTGCCGAGATAAATGTGACAGACACTGCACAGGACACTCAGCAGAGCCCTGGGATCGCAGCAGTTGTGCCAGAGGCAGGTCTGGGTTTGTTTTTTTTCTTTAACTCTCCAAATGGACCAAAATCATAGAATCGCAGAATCCCAGACTGCTTTGAGCTGGAAGGGACCTTAAAGCTCATTTCATCCTGCCCCCTGCCATGGGCAGGGACACCTCCCATTAGACCAGTTTGCTCCTCACATCAACAGCCTGGATAAGCAGGAGCAGCTCAGAAAGGACTGGAGAGCAGCTGGGTGGTTAATGATGAACTCCATTCCAAGAAATGCACAGCGTAAAATATCCGTACGGTTCAATTTCCAGAGGCAGCAGGAAGGTTAATGACTAACCCCTTGGTGGCAGGGAAAAAAACAGATGGAGACAGGTAGTTCTCAGATTCCAGCAGGGATCAACCTGTGACCAATCTTCACCTTGTCATCAAGCCCAGAGCACTGAGTGCCACGTCCAGTCCTTCCTTGGACACCTCCAGGGATGGGGACTCCACCACCTCCTTGGACAGCCCCTTCCAATGCCTGACCACCCTTTCCATGGTGAAATTCCTCCTCATGTCCAACCTGAACCTCCCCTGCACGGCTTGAGGCTGTTTCTTCTTGTCCTGTCCCTTGTTCACTGGGAGCAGAGCCCAACTCCCAACTCCCTACAACTCAGGGAGTTGTAGGCGCATTCTCCCAAATGAGTCCTGAAATCCCCTCTGTCTTATACCATATCCATTCAAACGTGGGATGGATTACATTAATTTTTGTCTAGAAGAAACCAAAGAAAGTTCAATGAATATCATCCCCTTTTAAACTAATGTAAGTTTATCATCAGTCTGGGATTACAAACAGCTTTTGTGCAATGCCTGACACACCTGTCCCTCACAACTGGACCAAGCTGCCCTGTCAGGCCAAACCCACAGGCTGAAAACCAAACCGAAAGTTGAAGCTGTGTGAGCAGCAAGTGTGACTTGGTACCCAAATTATTGCCTTCGTTAGTCCATGGAGGAGGCGGGTCACTGTCCCTGTTTTAAAAGGAATTAATCAACACATGATTGGTCTGGTGACATACAATAAACAAAATTAGAGTCCCAGATGGGCAGAGTATCACAGCGTAATGCATCGATAACCTTTCAAAGGCTTCCTCCAACACAATTTTCAATTTTCCCTGATCACAGCACAGGGCGTTTCTGTCAATAACCAAAAACCTTTTACCATAAAGCTTTATATGAAAATAAAAGCATTTCTCCAATGACTAATGAAAGAGAAGCTGTGGCTGCCCCATTCCTGGAAGTGCCCAAGGCCAGGTTGGATGGGGCTTGGAGCAACCTGGTCTAGTGGAAGGTGTCCCTGCCCAAGGCAGGGGGGTGGAACTGGATGGGCTTTAAGGTCCCTTCCAACCCAAACCAGTTTGGGATTCTGTGATTCCGTGATTCTATGACCCCCTCGTCCCTCCTGAGCCTTGCAGCCCTTCATCACTTGAACACAGAATTTCTGTTCCTCTCACACCTCAGTTAGTGCTGACGAGGAGGAGAGGAACACCTTCCTGGAAGGGTTAACTGGCTGTTCTTCCCCGAGGGAAGGCTTCCTGCATTCCCTGCCCTGGTGGGCAGCAGAGAGCAGCAGAGTGCTGTGGGATGAGCTCCAGTGCTCCTCTGTCCCCCCACGGAGCAGGAGCATAAATAAACACGCAAACACAGGGAACCTGCTTCTCGTGCAGTTGTTTAATTACAGTTGGCATTTTGTTCTGCCACGGACAATTTTTTATTAAGTTCCTGAGTAGAACAGAATTGATTTTTAATCATGCAAATGAAATACAAATTTCTTGGCAGATTTCCTGTGCCCAGACACAAGGAAGATAATTTAGGCACTGGCACGCTCAGAGAGGCTGGTGGCTGAAGTGCAGCCTGTTCCAGGCTCTGCCACCCTCCATGGAACCAAGTTCTTCCTCATGTTGAGGTGGATCTTGTTGTGGTTTAATTAGTGGCCTTAAAGTGGCCCTAAAGTCCCAGGAGGCCAGACTGAGGTGTGGGAAATAGTATGCTAAGGATGGACTAACAGCTGCAGAACTGGCCCTGAAAACTTCTTCATGGGCCAAAGCATTCCTCCTCTTTGTGCAACGATGCATTGGCTGTGCAGATACAACACACAAATCAATAACAGCCTGACCTTGTCCTTCTGGGGACGTTATAAGCCAATATTCCTCCCTGTCACAGTAATTCACTGACCAGTCACGTGTATTTCACGTGGGCTGTGGAAAGGCACAAATGACAACAATTCCAGCCTGAAGAAACTGCCTGCATGCTCTCATCAAGTTAATAACATTTTGGCTAAATAAAATCAGATTTTACGTGTTTGTCTTTGTAAAATCCCAGCAGTAGATCAGTATCTGCTTTCAAATGGCGACTCTTTCCTAAGTGGTTCCCTCTGTGGAGAACCCTGGTGGCACTGCAGAACCAATTAAAGAGAAAAAGGACAAGGAATTCTTATTAATTATTAATTTTCTTGGGGCATCCTGCGCAGGGCTGAGTTGGGACTTCATAATTCTTGTGGGTCCCTTCCAACTCAGGGTACTCCGTGATTCTGTGACTATCTATTACTGTATTTATCATCTATTTAGGCCACGTGCCATTTGCTGTCGGGGGCTGGTTGAGCGGTCAGAAGTGGTGATTTTGCAACCAGACGTGTTTCCTACGAAATCCCATCAGTGTCCGTGTGCCCCGTGTGACTCTGTGTGAGGCGCCGTGCAGGGGCCCGACAGCG